GGGCGCCATGGGCGCACAATTTGTGTTTATGTATCACAACGCCCGTCCTCACCGTGCAATCATCGTAAGCAAATGCCTTCAATCGGGGGATATCACACGTATGGACTGGCCAGCATTCTCACCGGACTTGAATCCAGTAGAGCACGTGTGGGACATGCTTGGCCGACGAGTTGCAACCCGTCAACCTCCTCCTACATGTCTACCGGAACTTCGGAGAGCATTTCGTTTGAGTATTGTAATATCCCTCAAGATTAGATCGATAATTTGATACTCAACATGCCTAGGCTTTGTACGGAGTGTATTGCATCGTCTGGGAGACATACAATGTATTAACAATCCTACCTACCATCTAATATTGGGTTTTGGTAAATAGGTTTTTTTTTGCAATTTGCTCCAGGGAGAAAAATTGCTAATTTTTTTAATAATATCAAACATATAGCAGCTTTTTTTGCTCTTTATCTTTTGTTTAATAAATAAGCTTTACAAATAAGTCAAATTTGTTTTGCTTCTAACTCTTTCTTTTGCCTGATTTTGCATTATCCTTAATTTATGGAGTGTATTTCCATGTATAAATTAAATTGGTAGTCAAAGGATAGGTTCTAAGACAAGATCTAAAATATGCATTTAAATTTACAACTTTTTTATGATAGATATATTGATTCAAAATACAGCCAAATCTCAGAAGTACATTTCACTTTTTCTTTTCTTTATTATTCTTGCTAATATTATTCGTAGAAACTTCAGTGCTAATGATAGCTTGCATAAAAATACAAAGTCTCACGGAGACAGACTAACATAGCTTGCATGAGTTTTTTTATAGTGACCGAAATGGGAAAAAATACTTAAGAAGACGTAGAAAAGAAAGGAGTTAAATATGTGTGATTTTTATTCAGGTTCAAATGTGCTATTGGATTCCACTTTACTCCACGCACACTTCTATTTTTTTAACTTTTCCTTGACTCATTGCATATAAAGGCAATGTGTCAATATCGCCTTTTATGGACTAGGTCATTTATCTTTGTCAAGTCACTTTTGATATATGGGCGGCATGCAGTCATTTATCACTACTACTACATAATCTCATTTGCCATACTTCTTGAACACTTTTATCGAACCTTTTGAACGATTTTATTCATAATATCAAAATAAAAACAAAATTTTAAAAAAAATGCAAGCTGAAAATTTTAGTTTATAATGCACCGCCTCGAAGACTTTACGACTAAAGTTTAGAAAATTTAAATAAAAAAAAAATGTATTCAAAAATTTTAAATAAAAAAATCTGACTTGGATACCGCATGACTTCCTTGTACGCTTATTTCCTCGAATTATTCGAACGTAATTATCCGATCCGTCAAGGCACGTTGAAAATGCACGTTGCAAATTTTGAAATTAAATATCCCAGTCAATTTCTGTCGTACGGAAATAAAGCTTCTTCTGCCTTTTTTTTTTTTTTTTTTTTTTATAACGAGTATAAAACTGAGATCGCATTAAAAGTTAAATTTCGTTATTTATTCAAAATTAATTTTTATAAAGTTTGGAATTGCCAAAACATGATTATTTTCGTCATTTAAAACACTTCTGTAATTCGAAGTATATGTCTACGCCAACTATTGCGAAAATAAAGGTCGAGCAAGGACATTTAAGCCGAGGGAGAGATAACTTTGGATACTGACTTTTTGGAAAGCTATTTAAAATACTTACTAAAGTTTTTTCTAATAATTCATAGCTTTAATTAAATTTCTTTGCCTTGAAGCTGATATAAAAATACCTTTTTTAAATAATGAATTATTTATATACTCTTAAAATAGTCCAAAATGAATTTTTTTTTTTAACTGAACTTTAAAAAAGCAAAGAGACGAATTTGCGCATGGCCTGCTAGGTAGAAAATTATAAAAATCAAAAAGAAAATCTCGGAACTGAATTGAAATTTTTTTTTTTGTTCCTTCTGTATGAAGGTACACGTTACGTACTAACTGTTTTTCTTGTATGATTAATGTGTTTTCTACGCATTGGCGACATCTTGTTCTTGGCGCCGGTCTTGGCGCATGTTGGCTAGAACGCCACTCATGTAAAACTACGCATTTGCAGTTTTGTTTTCGCCTATAGCGGCAGGCAACACATTTAGACAGTTCAATAAATAGTTAAAGTTCATAATATTTACGTTTGATTGATCATAGCTAAACACATCTTATTCACAACACAAACGAAGGTTTGACCAATTGCTTCTCCAGGTAAAGAATTACCAAATGGAGTACATGTAAATTTAATGAATCTTCAAATACGATATCTTAACTGAAAATAATACAAAACAAAACAAAATAACATTTTATTAATCTCCTCTGTTTAAAGCTTCAAGCAAAACTTGTCAAGGGAAAAGTGTTTTGAAGCCTTAAACTAAGTTGATTAGTGAATTCCAAATACATGTTTAAATCATTTGAGACGCAAAACCGCTTTTAAGTATCAAACCTTCACTTTACAACAACAATTTTTATTTCTTAAATATTCAGATCTTTTCCCTACATGTATTCGTACCCAAACGAGACCAAAAATTATAGAACGAAAGCTAAAAAACTAAAACATAAAAGCAAAAAAAAATTTTTTTTAATTTAATTTAATTTAATTTAATTTTTTTTACAGAAAAAAAAACCTGAAAAATACAAAAGGCTTGGATAATTAATAGTGCTTCAAAAGCATTATTGGTTGTTAAAGTTTTAGTTCCATTTACATTATCAGCATTATGTAAGAGTCGTATGACATGCATTATTTCCAAAATGACGCAGTGGAGAAAAAGGTATTACTATTTTTAGAAAAGAGAGGGAGAATTTCCAAATTAAAATTAAGGGGCTATTGCTAATTTAAATTATATTTTTTTATCTTCCTTACATATATATATGGTACTGCCAACTGCAATGGAAAAGGGAGGTACACAAGTTAGATGTTCCATAGCATATGTCTGGAACTGCACAAATAAGCAGTTCCAGGCACAAAATTTCAACGCTCTACGGCTTCTTTTCTAATGGCTTTCCTGATATGTAACATGAACGCTAACCATTTTCTGACAGAAAGTCTTTCTTTGATATCATTTCTTCCGTTAGGTAGATAGCACTTGCATGCTTTATTATAAAGAATTAATCTTAGCTGTTTTCTAAAATGTTTAATTAATTTATTTTAAAGCTAAATTTTTAATTAGTTTAAATTAAAATTTAAAACTATTTTCTAAAATCTTAGCAATATTCTAACCTTTTCCGAAGAGGAGCAAATCGTTTTTTTCTTTCTCCATTCTTGTTCGAAGGAAGTGTTACTGAGGCTTTAACTTTTTATACCGAATAAAAATCGTCGATTATTCTTTTGTACGGTGAATTAATAATTGAATTAAACAGACATACAATTTTCTATGTTCTTATAATCCATTGTCTTAAAGTTCTGCCTAGATTGTTCTTGGTGATGGCGACACGTTTGATTTGGCACAACCGCCGAGTTCCCATCGAGAAAGCATATTCTAGCTGTGTAGTATTGTGTCATTTGTAGAAATCGGTAGTGGTAAATCATGATCTTTCCTTGACGTATACCGTCTACGAGGTTGTATTATCTTACGAATGTTATGTTATGTTTCTGTTGTTTGTTTGAGATACTTTGCGAAATTCCAGCATTTACAAACTGCCTGCTAAATCTAGCCAGCTTCTAGACTTGTAGTTTTCTCTAAGCTAAAATAATTTAATAAATCTGTATAATGAGACATTGTTGAACATTCCTTTAAGTTAAACTTCCTCTGCGGTGCCATGTTGATAAACCATGAAGTGTTAAACTCAAAGCCAGTTTCCATCAATTACATTTACACAGCGAATCGCATAACAGACTTACATAGTAAAATGTTTTGCATTGGCACTAAATCGTTTAGTGTCTGGTTTGCTGCCTAAGTATTCTGGGTTTTTCACTAAATTTCTGATTTGTATTGTATTATTCTCCTAATTTTGTTTAGTAATATATACATTTTCAGGGCAAAATTAAAATCGCCTCTAACAGAAATAAATGAACCTCCACCCGTTAACCTAACATTTCGTCTTTTTCATTCGGAGATATTTAAACATAAGAAATACATCTTTCAGATTATTTTTTTTTTCAGTAAATAAAGAAATAAAAGGAAAGATACAATTTAAAGACTTTCTTCAAAACAAGAACATTGTTAATTTAACAGTGGCTAACACCAAGCGTTGGCACTTACATTAAAAAAAATAAAAAATAAATAAAAGTATGTTACACTGTAACAGAAAAAAAAATCCGTAACTGAGGACTGAAACTATGCCAAATCACACCTTAGGACCAAAAACGAACGGAAAGAACAGTAACTAGTACAGTGAACCTCAATAATTGATTCCGAGAATCATCAACAATTTCCATAATGCTTCAAAACAACAAAAGTTGAGCCCATGAACTTTATTTATGAACTTTGGACTGAAACATCTGAGTTCAGTACAGTCTTACCTATAACAAATATCCTCACATAAAAAGAACCAGACATTCAAATATATTAGCAGTATCAAATCCCATATGTTTATCTACTTATATAAAAATGCAAAACTTCTAGTGCAACAATCTCTAAAGTTTCAGCTTTACTGTATTGGCTTAATGCAATATTGTAATGAGTATACTCAACAGTTTGTGTTATAATTGCATGTTAATGAAATTTTAAATATGGCGTTACTTATGCAAGGATTTTTAAAGATGTCTTTTGATACAGAATCAATAATTTCTTTATAAAAGTCAAGAGTCTGCCGAACACTTTGCTTGGAAAAGCATTGCAATGAACATTAAAATTTTATTTCCATTATCTTAATAGTATTTATATTTGTTAACATTTGTGTAAATAATACATCTATTAAAAGATCCAGTTTTCGGTAGTGATTACACCTATTATTTAAGGAATAAAAATTCTGTTAAACATGCTTTAGTTTCATAACTATGCCGTTTTATAACAATTTTTATCTTATTTGTTTATTTAGGTAGTTTTGAAGAAAAATGACTGATTTTTTAATTACTTATCACGACGTACACGAGATGGCAGCACCAACTATATTTTACTTATGAAGCTTCGTTGATGATTGCTTCGGCACCTGCCGATTTCAAAATTGATTGCGGTGGAAGGTGCTATATAAAACTATACTTAACACGCTGGATAAACAAAATGGTAAGAAATATTAAGCTCTTCAAGAAGGCATTCATTAATTTATTTATTTTTATTTCAAAACCATCGATTTCATTTGATAAGGGTTTAAAAATTAATTTTCAAATATTGTAATTAAGGAATCATATTTTAATGTTATTTTTTATTAGATTATTATTTAATTTTTCTAAGGAACGGACACCGGGTTCCAGGCGGAACTACCGCAAGATCCATTTGCTGAAATTTTTACTATTTCTCCAATATATTCTGAATGGTACTTTTGGTAAGTTGGCTTCCCATACTTGAGAATGAATATATAAAATTAAAGCGAAAGGGAGAAATTATTGCATTTTGGTTGTAATTTTCCTTAATTAGGTGACAAAAGATGATTATATAACTGTTCTTTCTAGGTGGAAGTGTAATATTCTCCCAAGTCTGATAAATTTATCTTCCTGAGTATAAGATTTAATTTGTAAATATTTCCTGGGAAAGAATGTGTTCTGTACCGCCTGTTATGGGGAACAAACTTACGATATAAACTTTAATGTTTTTGATCAACATACTATATGCTTGTTATTAAACAGCGGTATTAAAATATTAAAACGGAATTATTTAAAAAGTAAGTGTGATTTTGAGTGGGAAAAAATTCTAAGTACATATGTTCAAAGTATATATTATATTCTAACTACACAGTATTAATCAAATATTAATCAAATGTAGGTTTAAATTCTGGTATCAGCTATACAAGGGTAATGAACATCCTAGTGTAAGTAATAAATACAGCATAAGGATCTAACATTAAATACAAAACACAGTCTTAATTGAATGTCTTCAAGAGTTTGTATGCCGCGTGTAATTCATGTTCTCAGTTTAGTTTCAGTTCAAATTCATAACAAAAGCGTATGAGTTTGACGCTTGAGTAGGTATATAATGCCGTGCACTCACCAATTCCTTTGGCATCATTTATAGATTTATTTAAATAATGGGTATGCCTTAAAAATTTGATTAGGGTCCGAAGACTACCGAATACTAGTAATTTGGTCTGGGTTCGAACCCAGGCGAGCGGACTGGCTGCATAGTTGCTTTTCGTAGCTTTTGCCATGCCTAAATATATAAGGCAATTTGCCTTGGAAATTCCTCCACGAACGCATTCTTCATCTTAGGCTTATAGCCATCGAGTGAATTGCCTTATTTAAATAACTTAACCTAATGACTGCATTGTCAGGGCCTTTAAACTTTTGATGAGGCATGTGAGGATTATGCGATCTTTTCAAGTGAAATCTCAGAAATGCAATCACAGGAAATTTTTTTATGAAAAAATATATATAGAAAAGTTAACATTTTTATGCCATATTACATACTACGGCATGTGTTACTCTATAATATAAGCCATATTAACATCATGTTGCAAAACGTGGACTAAATCTAGACTAATTATGAGTTCTATATAATGCGGACGGTTTCATTATCCATACCATGAAGGAACATTATCCATACCATGAAGAAACATACCTAGAAGTTCGTTTGGACTCACAGCTTTGACTAGGTTGTTGAATTCTTCGTTTCTTGGAAATAACTCCAAATCTAGTAATATAGATTCAAAGTGTTGCAAAACACCGAGTTTTATTTCTTTTTGTGCCAGGATGATATCATTTGAGTCATGTTGCATTTGGTTTTGTTTTTTCTGGCCAGTCCGATTTTTTTATCATACGGCCGGCTAGGAGGATCGGGGCTGTGCCATTATAATGATAATGTTGTGTAGAGAATTGTCTGATCGCGTTATAAAAACTAGGTGAATGATTTTCTGATTTAAGAAAATCTTAATTTTATTTGATTCTGAATTATTTATTTTAATGCTTTAATTTTGGGGAAAAACAGATGCTTCTGGGAATATTATTTAGTTTCAAAGAATATTATTTATTTTCCTTTTATTTGCAATTTTTGTACAAGCTTGATTCATTGTGAAAAGAAGCAGGGAAAGGAGGCGATTTTGCTAAGTCATGATTTCGCGCGCTTTGTCCTTTAGAATGTTCTAGAAGAAATTTCATTGTGCAATTGACCTTAGGACAGGAAGTACGTGACGGAAGGGTCAGAGGTTGCCACTTAACCTTCGATGTAAGTCATTCAGGTTGGCGATCGGGGGGTCCGGTTGTTGGCTAATTGAAGAAGGGCGCGCATGCGCGATCACCCTTTTTCCTCATTCAGGGGTTGAAACGCAAATTTTGCCCAAATTAAGGGGGCGATAATTGAAGCCAGTGTGGGAGCCCGCGTTTGTGAAGGAGACGAAGAAAATTCGAGTTTGAATCACTTACTTACTTTTGACTAAGACTGTAACTTCGAGCTTGCTCTTCGGTTGAGCGATAGAAAAGATGTAATTTACGAAGAGAGATGTTTTCCGGCGGGGAGCGGCAAATATGCTCCCCGGCCGCGTTTTGGCTAAGAGGCGAGATTGAAGATGGGCGAGTTTTACTGAAATGTTTAAAGAGACATTTTTGCCCGACTTTGGACGAGTTTTACTGAAATATTTAAAAAGACTTTTTGCCCGACTTTCGAAGGTGAAGGATTGTTAAGCTTCTGGGGATGAATAAGTTGTGATTCCGGCTGAGAACGGCGGAGGCTATCCGGCCGTTGACTTGCTATCGGAAAAGGAAAAACCGGGGATGATGAGGATTTTCACAAGTATCTTAAAATAAGAAAAGTTTTTTTTTTTTTTTTCTCCAGCGAGTATTAAATTCCAAAAATTATAGGCCAAGTTCCACCCCGCCAATGTGAGATTTTATTCTCGACATCCGGACAGCGAGCTTGAAGATTCTGCTCGGGTGCTGGTTCCAGTGGCTTATTTTCTTCGATGCTGAGCGTGTGGATGTGTTGCTGAAAAATAATGGAGTCGGTGTTCTTCTACATTGCGGTCAGTGATACCGAAAGCGTGAGACTCCTTAGACGCCAGTGTTCCCCTTACGGAATGTATTACTCCCAGGACTTAAGGTGGGCTATTTATCCCTGATTTCTCCCAGAATGCAAGGCCAGCCCGAGACATTTCCGGGTGCGTTTCAAGTCGTCGACATAACAGATAAGTTTTGCTTTGTTATCAATTTTCCTTCGAACTTTTGGAAATTGGAACTTTACTTTAAATTGAATCTTAAATTAATTTTAAAGGACTAAATTGCCTCCCTTTTTCTCCTTTTTAATTTATTCATAAGAGACAAACCTTAAAGTTTGTCTCTTATGAATTAGGATAAACCTCTTATGAATTAGGATGTAATAATATAATTTGTTTGTGTAATCTTCCTTAGAACAGATGTTGAATTGCAAATAATATGTTTTCTTTAACCTCTTAGAAATTACAGAACGTGTACCTGTTAAATTAAAAGAGTCATGTAATAGATTTGCAAAATCATGAATTTAAATGTAACAGAATAAAATGATAACTTGAAGAATTCACCTGTGTCTAAATTAAGAAAATTGAACTGTAACTAAAATAAGAAACTTGAGTCTCTGATTAGGATAAGATTTAATTTTAATTGTTGAGGAATTTGAATAAACTGGTATTTAATCTGGAAACCTATTATTTATGTTTTCTTTATATCTTTATGTGTTTTTCTATATATATATATATTGATTTTACATGTTGTTTATTCGATCTTCTCACGGCGCGGTCCCGGATGCATTTTCACAACGCAATGCACTAAAAATTCACTTATATGATCACTAAAAGTGTGGTAATTAGCTAACTTTTAAGAGTTTAGTTTCTCAGTTGATATTTAGTTAGTTACGGTTTCACCTGTCTGTTTCTGCATTAAGTTCCTCCCTAAAAGAGGAAGTAGTAGCACAGCATTGGTTCCCATGATTTTTATGGCAAAGTATAGAAACAGAACATTGGTGTCGTAACTAGTCAACAATAATGATCATTTTCGTTATTTTTTTTAATATTTTATTCAAGATAAGTGCAATCACTTTTAGGGTGAAATTTATATCATGTTGAATTGTGGAGGCGAAGGTGGTGGGTTTGAATGCTTTGCCGTGCATCAAATTAAAGACGGCACCGTATTTCGCAAGCGTTACAATAGTTTGGCTTTAATAATGCTGCTTTTATAGCTACCCTACACTTCTTTAAAACTACGGCCAGCGCAGCCTTCTCTTCAAGAAAAATAGTAGTTTTTGCATTAGGCTGCGCACTTTGCTAGTTTTGGCTATCAAGAGATTTTCCTACCAAGCTATTTTACTGTGTTTTAAATATATTTGTTTTCAAAATTAAGAGAATTTGCACATTTTTTCGAACTTCTGGAAAACTGATGGACAGATTTTAATTAGTTTTTAATTCATTACAAGGAGTTCTTCAGAACACGTTAGGCTTACATCTTCAATATTATCGCTTCTTTTGAGCGATAGAGCTTTTGAGAAAGTAGAGCTAATTTCAGAAGTTAATTGTACGTAACTCTATCATGCATAGGCAATTAAATAGTATCTAAAAATATGTCTATGTTTTTAGTCAGTGTCTGCAGATTTATACAAAAGACTCGTAAATGTATTATTGTTGCCAGGATGCTGAGTAAAATAAGCCTCGAAAATGTTGCAGTGAGCCAAAACATGTTGGTAAACTGTAACTTAAATAATGAATGTTGTCATTAAGCATTTTTTTAATAAAATTGATTTCATTATGTTCTGTTATTTCACAGATAATTTTAGTCTAATTATGCTCTCCTTCCATTTACAGCATAACGTATGGTGTTTAAATACAATATCTCGAGAAAAGACTATGTATCTAAAATGGCATTCAGATTGAAACAAAATAAGCAGTGTTTAAAGGATCTTACGATCTTTACTCTTTCTGCAAAGTTCTAAAACGTTTAATATTGATAGTAGTATAAAAATACGGGTTCTGCTGCACGCGGTGTGCGGTGTGGGCGTGGCCAACGACGTCACACAGAGGGCGGGACCAAAGGCAACGTCATCACACCAGGAGGCGTGGTTTCGAGTGGAGTTGAGTTGTTTTTAGATTGCTGATTGAGTTGTAGACCTCCTGCTTTTCATTTAAAGTTAGTTTTTTTTTTAAATTGGCAACGGGAAATATTTTCTGCATCTTAATTTTGATGATATAGCGATGCTGCCCTCTATTAATGAAAAAGTGAATTATATGTTTTAGAAATATATTTTTTAAGTCTGGTGTTAAAATTATTCAATGTGCGACTCTGAAAACAATGTAAAAGAAACAAATATAAGAAAAGACTTTCCTTTAATGAAACTACAAGATAATTTTTTTTTATTACTCAATTTTATTCTGAT